GTTGAAGGCGGAGAAGCGGCAGTCAGTGGCGGTGACGGCGCTGGTCTCATAGTCCCCTTGGCTACTCACAGCCGCCCTCCATCCCCCCCAACCCTCGCAACTGATGAACACACTCCTACCCGTCCAAGGGCAGTTGCTGACCGTTGAAGGCGGAGTAGCGGCAGTCAGTGGTGGTGACAGCGCTGGTCTCATAGTCCTTCACCTGCCCGTCCAGGAAGCCCTTACCCTCCGCGCCATCGGCGGACACGGGGTGGTGCAGGATGGCAGCGAGCCTAGAGAACTCCACCGTGCGCGCCTCCCTGCCATCGCGGTACGTCTGCCCCATCACACCATGCACGCTGCTGCTCGGGAACGCCTCCTGAAACATCACGTTGATGTGCACCTGGGCGTCGTCAGGTGTTTGCAACAGAGGGTGCGCGGGGCGCAGCTTCAGGTCCAACTCCAGGAGCGTTTCACCTGAGCGGTCACCTACAGCTCCTGCTCCAGCACCTGAATTTCCACCTGAAGAATCACCTGCCAGGCGCAGGTAGTAATGGTCCACCTCATACGGCCCAGCCTTCTCCTCTTCCACAAACGCCAGCACCAGCTTGCCGCCAAAGAAGCTGTGCGATTCACCGGGAACGAGGTGGGGGAGAGGGGCACCGTCGAGCTCCGCGGACGCCAGGAAGCCGGAATCGCCGCGGCGCTGCTCCTTGCCGTCGCGCGCCGTCAGCACCAGCGAGTGCGTTGCGGCGGCAGCAGCAGCAGCAGCTGGCTTAGCTGACACGGTGTTGTCGCTGTCGGTGCTACCAGCACTGTTGATGCTGTCAGCGCTGGCAGCAGTGTCGTCGGTCCACATGACTGCGAGCTGGCGGATCCAGGTGCGCACAGCGGAGCTGTTGACGACGAGGGCGTGAGAGGCAGTGGGCAGGGCTGAGAGAGAGCTGTTGTGCTCACCGCCCCTCACGGCTGAGAGAGAGCCGTTGACGACGAGGGCGGCGTTCCGCGTGGAGCCAGCCCGCGAGTCGAGGTAGCCGCGCATGCCCATGTTCACGTGCACCGCGCGGTCCGTGTACAGGCAGAAGTTCTTCTCGGGCAGCCCGTTGAAGTCGAACCGCGTGCCGTGCGCACCCAGGAAGTGCGGGTCGTTCTCCCCGAACGGGCACCGCTTGCCGATGCGAACCTTGTGATTGGTGGCTGGGTTGGTTCGGTTGGTTTCTGCTTCGGTGGATTTGACAGGCTTGAGACGGTCGATTGCTGGGATGAGAACACAGGAGCCGTTGGATCTGCAGATGGAAACCGGTGTGCAGTTTGAGAGGGAAGGGGGGGCGGTGTGGAAGGAAAAGGAGGGCAATTAGAACAGAAGCGGACTTGATCGAGACTGGCCAGGGAATAGTAGAAAGGGTGGAGGCTGGAGGGTACGAGTGACAGGAATCTGAGATTACTTATGGTACAGACGGTAGGGGATGATAGAGAAGCTTTGCGTCAGATACACGTGAGCCTAAGTGAAAAAAATTGCGAATACGGTATTGAAACTGTGAACGGCAACGAAGGCGTGTTAGTGGGGTGTGAAGCTAACGGAACGTGCTACAAGAGAATGGGATGTGGTGGTACTAACGGAATGTGCTACTCACGGGACGTGCACCCAGAAGCGGCAGTTGAAAGGATCCCCAGCAGCAGTAGCATTGGTGCTCTTGCACAGATCGCAGCAGTCGCTCGCATGTAACATCTCCGAGTCGCCGCCCCCCACGCACCACGCCTTATCCGCCTCCACAGGCGCTGCCGCGCCTCCCGCCGCTGCTGCTGCTGCTGCTGCCACTCCTGCTCGCACACTTGCTGTGCTCAGGGATTCGCCAGTAGTCCAGCGACCCCGCGTTATCGTCACACTTGCCACGGTCACATGCAGGAGAACCACCTGAAGAACCACCTGAGGAGCCGCCTGAGGAGCCACCGCCGCTGTTGCCGCCGCTACTGCCGCCCTGATTGTCGTTGCAAGGCCGCCCGTTACTGCCGCCGCGACCGCCGCCGATGCCGATTCCGACCGAGACGCATCCGCTGACGCCCAGACCTAATCCGAGCCCGCGCCCCGCGCGCCTGCCGGCGGCGGCGCCGGCGCGAAGCGCAGCGCTTGCCGCGGCGCTGGCGCTTCCCCTGATGCTCACTGCTGCTGCTGCTTCAGCAGATGACGATGCTGCTATCGCGACGAAGAGAGCGGCGAGAAGGAGGAGCGGGACGTACGGACGAGCCATGACCTGCCGGGCGTTAGGTTTGCAGGCTACGGGGGAGTTCTGTAGAGCTGTTTGCTGATTTTGGTTTGATGAGACAGGCGGAGAGGTTGGAAGAGAGAAATGCGGTGGCTAAACCGGGATGAGTATCCAGCCAGGAAGCAGATACGTCGACGCAAATCTCGATGTAGGATTGGTGGATGAGACGACTGGCGGGTTGAACGGTGTATATATGCCGCGTCGACGACTCGACGCGGATGACGCGATTCGGGGCGGCTGGAGCCATTTTGTTCTTAGTAGGCGCCGGCCCTGGCAACTCGGGGCGGCTTCAAAAGACTCTGTAGGATCAGCCATCGTCGAATGTCAACGCCGTTCTCGGCGGTGGTAAAGAAATTTAGAATGAAGCGAACTGGGGCACAAGGGGAATTGGTGAATGGGTGAGCGAGTTCAAACGGGTGGGTAAGGTCGACAGTTGTCAAATGGGACGGCGGAGAAATTTGGGGAACCTACTACAGGCGCAAGGGGCTGTCCACCGTGCTGGCTGCAAATTTATTTGGGAGTTCTCATTCTCACACAACCTCCAAAGCCACGACATTCGTAGATGAACGAACTGCACGTTCCCCGTCCTTGTGGATATAGGACCATCGATGGTGGGGTGTTCCGTCCGTCTGATGAATATGACCTAAGTTGGTTGGCTGGCTGTTTCTTTATTGGTGACGAATTCTAGGCGACATTCGCGAAATGCAGGACGGCTTTGGCTATACATCTGGCCTGTAACATTCTACAAGTGCTCATCTTAATCTTTAATAGGGACCAAGAGGAGTTGAAACGAATAGCTGGTTCTAAATCTAGTATATTCTATAACCACATGTGAGAAAATGTTGCAATGTTTCAGGCAAAAATTAAAGGTGCTGCTGAACTGCATTTGCACTCTGTGCAGCTTCCAAGCACTATACTGGCAGTATATACACAAACCGTTTTTACCTGCAATTATATCACTTCGGCTACATGTATATTTTTTTGACCGACTACCAGTGATGAGCTGTACCAGTTGAACACTTGTTATTTCAACAGTGTAATCCACGAGAAATTTGTGATTGGCCAGTGTGGATGCCTCAATTGAGGCTGACGACAAAGATCCTCCAAAGGAATATTCTTGTCCGTCTTACGTGAGTGGATCTCCCCGGTCGTGGCAACGATTACGTGGCACGGAGCCAGGTTTGACACAGTTCCGCACGTGCCATCAATGGATGCGGTTCCCATTGCATCTGAACATGCTGCTGGAACGCCAGGTGCTGGAAAATGTCCAGGTTGGGCATTGGTGGGCATGGCAATTCGACCTTGTTGGTCTACTGAGGTCACGGTTCTGGCCGAAGCTTGGACACCAAGAACCAAAATTTTCCATCAGTGACGTGTAAACACACCCGATCATTGGTCACCACACAAGTTGCTGAGCATGGCAGCCAATCAGACGTGTTCATTGCTACCAAAGTGTCCACACTTCACTTGGTGTCCAAGCCCCAGAACCTGATATGACGTGACAGGTTTTGTTCCACAACGGGCAACGCTGGCGGCGTTTGAATGAACTTGCTCCTTGTGCTGGAACTTACGTGAGGTTGTTACTTAGTAAAATTCGTGAAGTCCTCGCCGTGTTTGTGACACCCGAACAGCCCAGGCATCTGAAGTCACGTCTTGACCCAGCCTTTCAAACCTGGGCCAAGCCAAGCCACTTCACCGTAATAGTGAAGTGAAAGCAAATAGGCGCTGGCGCTGAGGTGGCCTTGCGTGGCAGCGGGCGGAAAGACGCGGCTCGCGGGAGCAAGGGATGGAGGGGCGGGCCGCCGTGGCCCCGTCGGATTGGTTGTAATGATCCGCGGGGAGCAGAAGCGCACGAGCACCGCCAGCACCATGGCAAGAGGGGAGGGGAGGGGACCATCCAGCAGCGCAGCCGCAAATTCGGAAGGGGGCAACAATCAGAAAATGGGAAGAACCGTTGTGGTGCACCGTCCCCAACCGTTTCAAATCGCTTAAAAATCAGCGTCAACCCACTGTATTCCACTCGTTCAATTGCATCCCCACAAGCCCAGTTTCCCAGTTTATAGCCGTTTGAGTCTGTCCCTCAGCCTGAGTGTGCAAGCCTCTGCAAATACATGTTCATAAGCATTATCTGCGCCATTCCTCTTGTTACTATACTCCGCTCCTAGTTGCCCCGTTTAGGGAACACCAGGCAAGCTTTGGTGGTGTCGTCCCTCAGGTGTTTCACCAGCGATTCTCCGAGCGCATTCTGACTTCCAATTGGCCGGAATGGTTGCCATTTCGTCTCTGCATCCGCTCCCAGTCGAGCAAGGCTCGCTGCTTTCTAGCCACCGCAAATTAAGCAACGGCGGAACTTCTTTCCGCAGTCAGCCGCTTGTCGCTAGCAGACGAGCGGTCAGAATTGTGCCACGTGCATCTGCTCCTCCCTCCACACCTTCCTCCTCCTCCACTCCCTCGTCCTCCTCCTCATCTCCACCCTCTCTCTCCTCCTTACCATCTACTTCTCCTCACTCCTCCTCAAGCCCTCCCTCCGTCACCCGCAAGTCTTATTTCGATGCGCCTTTACCTAACCTCCCCTGCTGGCCCGCTCCTTCCGCCAATGCTGCCGCGTTCGCAGCCACCGGCGGCGCGCGACGCGCCGTGCAATCCTCCGCAGCGGGAACCGCGGCGGGAGCCGCGGATTCCGCGCAGCAGATGGGGACAGTGTCGGTGGGGGTGGACGTGGAGGAGGGGGAGGACGGCGGACACGTGGGACCAATGATGAGCCGCCAGCTGTTGCGGACGGCACGCGGCGGCGAGCTGAGCGACGACGAGGAGGAGGTGGACGGCAGCTCGGCAATCCCGAGGATTCGACGAGGTGCGCTATCGCTGTCGTTGTCGTTATTCACATGACCTCTTTAGTCGTCTACAAGTATGGCATTTCTGAATTGTAGCGTTTAGTCACCACATGGTTAGAATTCGGAGGCCCTGCTGCGCGGAGTGCTAAAGCTCCACGGTCTTATGCTCTCTTCCTGCACTCTCTATCTTCTCCCGCACTTCCCCTCTCGCACGGCCGTTCTCGTCCCCGCGCGTTTTTCTTTCTCTCTCTCCTTGCGCGCACCTTTTCCCCATTCCGCGCAGTGCCGGAGCAGGAGCAGCGGATGTTACGGGCGGTGGCATGGGCACCATCTCCTTCCACATGGTCGTCGCTATCGTTATGTTGGAATTTACTTTCAAGAATTCTCCAATTCTCCAACGCGCTCTTCCCCACTCTCCGCACGCCATTTCCCCTTTTCCGCGCGTGCCTCCCCCGCTCCGCGCAGTGCCGGAGCAGGAGCAGCGCATGCTAGCGGCGGTGGACATGGGCACTAACTCGTTCCACATGGTCGTCGTTTCATCACACCTCAGAATTCTCAATCTCGCCTTTCCCCTTGTTAGCGCGCCTTTCCCCCGCTCTGCGCGACCTCTTCGCGTCTCGCCCTCTTTCCCCCCCACCCCCCCCGCAGTGCCGGAGCAGGAGCAGCGAATGCTAGCGGCTGTGGACATGGGCACCAACTCGTTCCGCATGGCCGTCGTTATGCTCAAAACCACATAGTTGCTGTTGACATCTCTCAAGCGCGCTCTTTCCCCCTCTACGCTCGCGCCCCCTTTGCCCCTCTCCGCGCTTCCTCCCCTTCCGCGCAGTACCGGAGCAGGAGCAGCGCATGCTAGCGGCGGTGGATATGGGCACCAACTCGTTCCACATGGTCGTCGTTAAAGCCGACAACAAGGGGCGCTTCGAGATCGAGGACGTCGAGAAGGAGGACGTGCGCCTCGGCAGCGGCAGGTATCACACTGTCGTAAAAAAAATTAGTCTTTAAGATCTAATGATTAAGGACACGTCACGTGGCAGGATGCGAATGTTTAAAGCCCGTCAGGTTATATTAGGTGTGGCGAATCCACGACTACAGGGCATGTAACTTATCTGTTTATGCTAGCAACAGGAGATTTACGCTCCCCAACCAGCCTTTCTTTGGACCACAACGTATTGTTCCGTAATTTTGTTTAGTCCTTAATATTCCGAGTTCCTCGTATCCTCGTTTCAACTGCTGGTGATTATGTCGAGTTGCTGACTCATCTGACCCATCTCCCCGTTGGACACGTGGCAGCTCGGGATTCGCGGTGATCACCCCCGAGGCGGAGGAGCGAGCGCTGGCGGCCGTGCGACGGCTGAAGCAGATCGCGAAAACGCGAGGCGCGGCCATTCGCGTCGTTGCCACGTCAGCAGTGCGCGAGGCGCGCAACCGGCGGTCGTTCGTCCGGCGCGTGCTGGACACCACGGGGGTTGACGTGGAGGTGCTGTCGGGGCAAGAGGAGGCCTGCCTCATTTATCTCGGTATTCTCCAGGTCGGTTCTCTGCCCCCCCTTGCCCCCCTACGCTCCTTCCCCCCTTATCCCCCTTGCCCTCCTCCCCGTCCTTGCGTGCTGGACACCACGGGGGTTGACGTGGAGGTGCCATCTGACCAAGAAAAGGCCTGCCTCATCTACGATGGTATTCAACAGGTCTGATCTCCGCCTACCCCCCTCCGTCCGCATTCCCCACCCTCCTCTTCCCCCCAGGACCTCCCAGTGTACCACAAGACAGTCCTGACTGACGGTGGACAGTGGAGGCAGAAGCTGACGTCTCAACCCTCTCCCGCTCATCCTCCCCTCCCTCCCCATCACTCCCCTCCCGCCCTCCCCTCTTGCACTCACTCTCCTTCCTCCTCTATCCCTTCTCCCTCTCCTCTCTCTTCCAGGCCCTCCCAGTGTATCACAAGACGATGCTCACGGTGGACATTGGCGGGGGTCTTTCACTCACTCTCCCCTGTTCCGCGTGCTCCCCTATCCCTTCTCCCTCTCCCCACAGGCCCTCCCAGTGTATCACAAGACGGTCCTGACAGTGGACATAGGAGGCAGGTTATGCACTCTTGCACTTACTCGCCCACCTTCTCTCTTTCTCTCGTTTCTCTCTCGCTCTCCACAGGCCCTCCCAGTGTATCACAAGACGGTCCTGACGGTGGACATTGGGGGCGGGTCAACGGAGTTTGTGATTGGTCGGGAGGGCAAGCCGCTCTTCGCCACGTCACTCAAGCTCGGCCACATTCGCCTCACGGAGAAGTTTGCATGTGAGTGTGTGCTTGTAACGGGGGTGATGTTAAACTCTGCACGTGCTTCTCTAGAAAAAGAGCAAGCAAACAAAAGGAGCGGGATTTTGCGGAGCAAGCTAGGGGATGTAGGAATACGAACAACATTCTTGTAAGTTGTAACGACACTAGTAGCGCATTCATGCGAGTGTAAACAACCCGGAGGGGGTGAGGGGGGGGTGGGAGAGGAGGAAGGAGAGGGGAACAAATGGCCCACTTTCGCACAAAAAAGCGCATGTGTGTGCTCCACTCCACTTTATCCCCCCCTCTCCCCTCCCTCGTTCCTCTCATTCCTATCAACATTGACGCTTCCTCGTCCCTCTCTCTCCTCCTCTTTCCTATCCTCTCCTCTTCCACAGCGGGTGGGCCATCCAAGAGCCAGCAGATTCTGGAGATGCGGCGATACGTGCGCGTGCTGCTGGCTGACTCAGGCGTGCTCGATGTGTCTTGCTTCCACTCCCTCCTCCTTTTTCCCACCACTTCGTTCCTACCCTTATGGATGGTTTCTTCCTCGTCCCTCCCACTCCTCCTCGTCCCTCTGTCTCCTCCTCTTACCACTCCTCTCCTCTTCCCCAGCCGGTGGCCTATCAAAGAGTCAGCAGATTCTGGAGATGCGGCGATACGTGCGCGTGCTGCTGGCGGACTCGGGCGTGCTCGAGGTGGTCAAAGGGTGAGTAGTGGTGAAGTGTGGTGAAGGGTGGTGAAGGGTGGTGTTCTTTTAATGAAACGTGCGTGTGCTGCTGGTGGATCCGGGCGGGCTCGAGGTGGATATGTATATGCGTATCCGTATGACCACAGCAAGGCCACAGCAAGGCTTTTCACCTGCTCCTTGTTCTACAGCCCAGTTTCCCTATTATTGTTTCGGTGGCGCCTCAGAAGGTTTTTCTGAGTGTGACTCATGCCGTTCTTGTCTGCTCTTTCTACTTATCGCATGGCCGAGAAGGACATTGGACTATTCTCTAAGGCGCCCAATATATTCTCTGCTCTTTTCCACTTGTTGCAGGGCCGAAAAGGAAATCGAACTGGCGATCGGCAGTTCGGGCACCATCGAAACAATCGAGCAGATGATCCACCAATCACGTGCCAGCGGCACTATCAGCACGGGCAGCACTGCAACCATCACCACAGCCACCAGCATCAGCAGCAGCAGCAGCGGGAGCGGGAGTAGAAGTAGTGGGAACGGGAGCAGCAGCAATGGGTCTGCGGTAGCGTCTGGGGGGCAGAGCGGGAGGAGCAGTGGTGGCGGTGGGAAAGGTGGGGGTGGGAGTCCCAGTGGCGTTACCCAGAATCAAGAGGTGAGGATGAAATTAGGGCATGAAATAATGGAATACAAGCTAGAAATTAAATAATGAATGAAGGCAAGAAAGCAATCCTGGACACCCAATCATCTGCTTCCCTTTCATGCCACCCCATCCACCCACCACCACAGACTGTCCTGCGGCGACTAGACGAACTCAAGGATCGCGAATTCACCCTGGAAGAGCTCTCCGTTGGGGTCAAGAAAATATGCAAGGCCAAGACCCCTCAAAACCCGATTGTTTGCTTTCCTTGTCTTGCCACCACCACCACCACCACTGCCCCGCCCCAACCCATCCCCAGGCTGTTCTACGGCGCCTGGCTGACTTGAAAGACCGAGAGTTCACCCTGGAAGAGCTCTCCGCCGTGTTCAAGAGATTCGAGAACCATTTGCTGATCCCCTCTCTGCCTTCCCAATGCTACCCACAACCCCCCACTACAGGCTGTTCTGAGGCGCCTAGCAGACCTCAAGGACCAGGAGTTCACCCTGGAAGAGCTCTCCGCAGTGGTCAAGACGATCTGCAAGGCCAAGACCCCCCTCAAAACCCACTTGTTTGCTTCCCTTCCCTGCCACCACCATCCCCGCACCCATCCCCGCACCCATCCCCGCAAGCTGTCCTTCGCCGCCTGGCGGATCTTAAGGACCTTAAATTCACCCTGGAAGAGCTCTCCGCCGTGGTCAAGGAGATCTGCAAGGCCAAGACCCTGCAAGAACCCACTTGTTTGCATCCCCTCTCGCCTCTCCACCCCCACCAACCCCATCCCCACCACCACAGGCTGTCCTGCGCCGCCTGGCTGACCTCAAGGACCGATAATTTACCCTGGAAGAGCTCTCCGCCGTGGTCAAGGAGATCTGCAAGGCCAAGACCCCTCGGGACCCATTTGGATTCTTCACTTTCTTGCCACCATCACACCTACCACCCCCCTTACCTCAGCCTGTCCTTCGCCGCCTAGCCGACCTGAAAGACCGAGAGTTTACTCTGGAAGAGCTGTCCGCGGTGGTCAAGAAGATGTGCAAGGCCAAGTCCCCTCAGTACTCACTTGTTTGCTTCCTTTTCTTGCCACCACCACCACCACCACCACCACCACCACCACCACCACCACCACCACCACCACCACCACCACCACCACCACCACCACCACCACCACCACCACCACCACCACCACCACCACCACCACCACCACCACCACCACCACCACCACCACCACCACCACCACCACCACCACCACCACCACCACCACCACCACCACCACCACCACACCACCACCACCACCCCACCCCACCACAGGCTGTCCTTCGCCGCTTAGCCGATTTGAAGGACAGGGAGTTCACCCTGGAAGAGCACTCCGCCGTGGTCAAGAAGACCTGCAAGGCCAAGATCCCTTAAAACTCACTTGTTTGCATCCCTTCCCTGCCACCACTATCCCCCCCGCACCCATCCCCACAGGCTGACTTGGCTGACTTGAAGGACCGTGAGTTCACCCTGGAAGAGCTCTTTGCCGTGGTCAAGAAGACCCGCAAGGCGAAAACCCCTCCAATCTCAATCGTTTGCTTCCCTTTCTTGCCACTACCACCCTCACCACAGGCTGACCTTCGCCGCCTAGCAGACCTGAAAGACTGCGAGTTCATTCTGGAAGAGCTCACCGCTGTGGTCAAGAAGATCTGCAAGGCCAAAACCCCCGAGGCGCACGTGATGTCCCCTCAAGGCCCACACTCCTCTCACTTCCTCCCAATCGGCCCACACCGCTCCCCACCCACAGGCTGTTCTGCGCCGCCTAGTTGACCTCAAAGACCGCGAATTCACCCTGGAAGAGCTCTCTGCAGTGGTCAAGAAGATCTGCAAGGCCAAAACCCCCGAGGCACGCGCGAAGCTGCCCGGGCTGCCCGAGAAGCGCGCGGACGTGATCCTGGGCGGTGCGATTCTCCTGGAGGAGATCTTCCTGGCCATGGGGATCACGAAGATGCGCGTGTCGCCGTACGCATTGAGGGAGGGCGTGATCGTGGACACCCTTTCGAGGACGTTCACTGATTTCAGCATCACACCTGATTTAAGGCGCAGTTCTGTGCTGAAGATGGCCGGCAAGTTCAATACCGGTTTAAGGAAGGAGTCGGCTCTCCACTGCGCAAGACTGGCCCAGGTGAGCCACTGACAGGGGCCTTGCACTTCCTCTCTGAGGGGCGTGATCCTGGGCGGTGCGATTCTCCTGGAGGAGATCTTTCTGGCCATGGGGATCAAGAAGATGCTCGTGTCGCCGTACGCGCTGCGGGAGGGCGTGATCGTGGATACGCTTTCTAGGACCTTCACGGACTTTAGTATCACCCCGGATCTGAGGAGGAGCTCTGTGCTGAAGATGGCTGGCAAGTTCAACACTGGGTTGAGGAAGGAGTCGGCTCTGCACTGTGCTCGCCTTTCTCAGGTGAGAGAGGGAGGGCAAGGAGCAGAGGGATGGGGAGAGAAGGGATGGGGAGTGGGGTCAGGTGAGAGAGGGTGATTGGGATCAAGAAGATGCGCGTGTCGCCGTACGCATTGAGGGAGGGCGTGATCGTGGACACTCTGTCTCGCACCTTCACTGATTTCAGCATCACGCCTGACCTGAGAAGGAGCTCTGTGCTGAAGATGGCCGGGAAGTTCAATACTGGGCTGCGGAAGGAGTCGGCTCTCCATTGCGCAAGACTGGCCCAGGTGAGAACGAGCGGTGGGGAGAGGGATGGGGAAGGGAGAGAGGGAGCGATGGGGATTGAGAGAGAGCGATTCTCCTGGAGAAGATCTTTCTGGCCATGGGGATCACGAAGATGCGCGTGTCGCCGTATGCATTGAGGGAGGGAAGTTCAATACTGGGCTGAGGAAGGAATCGGCTCTTCACTGAGCAAGACTGGCCCAGGTGAGAGGGAGTGACCAGTGGCCTTGCAGTGCGAGCCTGCGCCCTTTGAGGGACTTGCGAAGGAGCTCTGTGCTGGGGATGGCTGGGAAGTTCAACACTGGGCTGAGGAAGGAGTCGGCATTGCACTGTGCTCTCCTGGCGCAGGTGAGATGGAGCGATGGGGAGTGGTGCAGGTGAGAGTAAAACCACCACTGCTTTTAGGCCAATAATGTATTGGTCCTTTTTTTCCCCTTTGCTTTCCCTCCTTTGCTGCAGCAAAATATTTGCAAGGTAATATGTCAGTTCCAATTGCATCCATCATCTTCCTCCCGCACAATCTCCTAACCTTCCTCCCGCCCCCCACCCGCTCCTTCCCCCTTGCTGATTTTTCATTGCTGCAGCAAATCCTGGCGGGCATGCAGACGTGCAAGATGGGCGGCTCAGATTGCGTGTCACCAATGATGGCTCTGTTGGACGGCAACGATTTCGAGGTGCTGGAGGCAGCGACGGTGCTGCACTATGTGGGCATGTTCATCTCCCACAAGGGTTACCACAAGCACTCTTATTATCTTATTAAGGTATGACCTCATTATAACACGGGCAGCAAAGGGGTTGCACGGGGCATCAGAGGTGCTGGAGGCGGCGACTTTGCTGCACTATGTGGGCATGTTCATCTCCCACAAGGGCTACCACAAGCACTCGTACTACCTCATAAAGGTGAGAGATGGATGGGGTTGACTAGACTGGAAAGGGGTTATATGGGGTAGCAACATAGGTGCTGGAGGCGGCTACAGCTCATCAGCTACAAGGGCTACCATAAGCATTCTTACCACCTGATTAAGGTGAGAGAAGGGCACAGCTGAAAAGGGGTTACTTGGGGTATGGCGCAGTGCCATACCCCTTTTCAGCTGTGCCCTTCTCAGTGCCACAAGTTGTGCTTGCTTTGCTGCCCTTGGTGACTTTTGAGTCGACTCAAAAGTCACCAAACTATGGCGCAGTGCTACAAGTTGTGCTTGCTTTGCTGCCCTTGGTGACTTTTGAGTCGACTCAAAAGTCACCAAACTATGGCGCAGTGCTACAAGTTGTGCTTGCTTTGCTGCTCTTTGTTAGCATGTTCACCTCCCACAACGGCTTTACCACCACAAGCATATCAGTCATCCCACAATCTCATCCAATCATCTCATCTTTCTCTCCTCTCCTCCCTGCCGCTGCCTTCCCTCCCTGCCATCTCCCCTATACCTCCCCCTCCATTTCCCTCCCCGCTCTATCCCTGAACCTCAAACCCTGAATCTCTTGTGCAGCATTCGGAGCAGCTGCTGGGGTACTCGCCCATGGAAGTGGAGGTGAGCGGAACACACATGAATAGCGTGGGGGGTTGGCGGGGGTGGGGGGGGCGGAGCATGGGGCATGGAGCGTGGGACGTGGGACGTGGGACGGGGGATGTGGGCAGGGTGTGGCAGTGGGGCATGCAGCATTCGGAGCAGCTGTTGGGGTACTCGCCCATGGAAGTGGAGGTGAGCGGGCGCACATGGATTCCAGACAGGAAGCGTGGGGCAAAGGGCGTGGGGCAAAGGGCGTGGGGCAAAGGGCGTGGGGCAAAGGGCGTGGGGCAAAGGGCGTGGGGCAAAGGGCGTGGGGCAAAGGGCGTGGGGCAAAGGGCATGGGGCGTGGGGCGTGGGGCGTGGGGCGTGGGGCATGGGGCGTGGGGCGTGGGGCATGGGGCGTGGAGCATGGGGCATGGGGGTGGGGTCTTGGGGGGGTTCGACCCATGAAAGCTGAAGTGAAGTTAGCGAAAGCGCATTGGGGCCAGAGGGAGGTGTTTGGTTCTGGGTGTCGGGCTCTGGTTGTCACACCAAGTGGTTGCCCCATTGGTGTGCCGCCACTACAAACGATTTTCTAGGTGTCTCAAACACCTCCCTCCCTGCTTCCCTTGCTCTTTCGTCTCCCATGATCGCCCTGCTGCCGTCACGTGCCTCCTTCACCCCCACCCCCCCGCATTCTTACTCCCCCCTCTTCCTCGCCCTTTCTCACCTCCCTCGTCTCCCCTCTTCTCAACGCCCTCCCCCTTCGTCCTCACTCCACCATCCCCCTCCCTCATCCCTCCCCCTGTTCGCCACCAGATGATAGCTCTGTTGGTGCGTCACCATTGCAAGCGACCGCCCTCCAGCAAGAACGAGGACTTTGCCAAGCTGCCCCCCGTGCTGCAGCAGAAGATCCGAGCCCTCTGTGCCATCATGCGCATCGCCGTGGCATTGCCCCTTGCTCTCCCCCTCACTCACCTCCTCTCTCTCTCCATCCCGCCCATGCCCCCACCTTCCACTTCCCCTCCTCCCACTGCCCTGCCCCACACTCCCCACCTCTCTCCCACAGATGATAGCTCTACTAGTGCGCCACCATCGCAAGCGCCCCCCATCATCCAAGGACGAGGACTTTGCCAAGCTGCCATGCTGACTTGACAACCTGCCTCCCACTACCCTGTCCCCTCCCTCCCCACCCCACCAGATGATAGCTCTGTTAGTCCGTCACCACCGCAAGCGCCCCCCATCATCAAAGGACGAGGACTTTGCCAAGCTGCCCCCCGTGGTGCAGCAGAAGATCAAAGCCCTCTGTGCCATCATGCGCATCGCTGTGGCGCTCGATCGCTGCTACACCGGCGCTGCTGCGAGCGTGCTTGTGCTGCAGGATGACGATTCGTGTGTGCTGGTGAGTGCGTGTGCATTTAACGGGTGTGTTTCTAACTAGCACGAGCCCTCTGTGCCATCATGCGCATCGCTGTGGCGCTCGATCGCTGCTACACCGGCGCTGCCGCGAGCGTGCTCGTGCTGCAGGACGATGATTCTTGCGTGCTGGTGAGTACACATGCACATTGTATCGAGTATGTGATTGCTGTACTGAGGAGGGTTAATATCTGAGTGCGCGTTGCTGTTGCGCTCAACAATCCCCAGCAACGCGCGATACTTGATCCCCAGCAGCGCTTGATCCCCAGCAGCGCTTGATCCCCAGCAGCGCTTGATCCCTAGCAGCGCGTTGCAGCTACAAGGGCGCTGCTCTGCTTGTGCTGCAGGACAACGATTCCTGCACGTTGGTGAGTGTGCTGCAGTTGTGCTTTGCAGAATGATGACTCAAGCGTGCTGGTAAGTGCATGCTTACAGCAAGTACGTGTATTGCCCCTTTCATCCCCTATCACTCCTGCACAACCCCCCCTCTCCCACATCACCCCGTCCCATTCCTGCCCAACACCATGAGGCGTGACTCCGTCAGTGGGGGATCCCCTCTGTGCCGTCCCATTCTGCACAACCCCCCCTCTCCCACATCACCCCGTCCCATTCCCGTGACTCCATCAGTGGGGGATCCCCTCTCACAGGGGCGGCATAGGACGTATCTCTGGAGATGTGGGCTGGGTTTCACACCACCATCACCCCTCCGTACTCCCTCCTCACCTTTGTCACCCCTTCCCACCCCTTTCACTTCCTCGTGCACCCCTCCCAACACCACCTGGCAGTGACACCGGCAGATCCCCTCACAAGGGCGGCACAGGCTGTGTCGCTGGAGATGTGGATTGGGTTGCACACCACCGCTCTCCACCTCACCTCCCCCCTGTTATCCCCTCCCAACCCCCTCCCACTCCTTCCAAAACCTTCAGGCGGTGACCCCGGCAGTGGATCCCCTCACAGGGGCAGCACAGGACGTGTCTCTGGAGATGTGGGTTGGGTTGCACACCATCGCTCTCCACCCTCACCTCTCCCCTGTTATTCCTTCCCAAACCCCCTCCACCACTCTCAACACCTTCAGGCGGTGACCCCAGCAGTGGATCCCCTCACAGGGGCAGCACAGGACGTGTCTCTGGAGATGTGGGCAGCACGGGGCGAGCTTGAGTACTTCCATAAGGTGGGTACCTGCACACTCCTTAAGGCCTTGTGCTTGGGGTGTGGGGTGTGGGGTTTGATAATTCTGGGGTGAAGGATTTAGGGTTACAGGAGCGGCACAGGACGTGTCTCTGGAGATGTGGGCAGCACGGGGCGAGCTTGAGTACTTCCACAAGGTGGGTACCTGAAAGTCTTGGGGCTACTGGGGATTGGGCTGGGGGGCTGGAGATGTGGCAGCACGGGGCCAACTCGAATGGTGCAGGTATTAGAAAAGACGCCGTCCATAGCCATTGCCGATGATGACCTTGACGCGAATTCGCTTCACTGGCACCTCAGAAGCCTCCCCTCATTTCCCCCCCCTCCCCCACTGTGCAGGTATTAGAAAAGGCGCCGTCCATAGTCATTGCCGATGATGACCTTTCACGAATCTGCTTTTGAGCCGCCTCAAAAGTTTCTGATCATTTCCCCCCTCTCCACCACACATTGTGCAGATATTTTAGAAGGCGCCGTCCATAGTCATTGCAGATGACCTTGACACGGATTTGCTGCTCGCAGAGCAGTCCAGGAGCCTTTTGAGATAGCGGCTCACAAGTCTCTCATTTCTCCTCTTCCTCCCACCTCCACTGTGCAGATATTTAAGAAGGCCCCGTCCGTTGTCATTGTGGATGACCTTGATGCGGACTTGCCTTTGAGACACCTCGCAAGCCTCCCTTCATTTCTCCCCCTCCCCCACTCCACTGTGCAGATATTTAAGAAGGCGCCGTCCATTGTCATTGCGGATGACCTTGACACCAAAATGCTCCTTGTGGGGCAGTCCAGGAGCCTTTCGAGATGACTCACTAGTCCCTCATTTCTCCTCCCCCCCTCCCACCCCCCCCCCCCCCCCCCCACCCACCTCAATCTCTTCAGATATTTAAGAAGGCGCCGTCCATTGTCATAGCGGATGACCTTGATGCAGACTTGCTGCTTGCAGAGCAGTCCAAGAGCCTCAGCTCTTAACTAAGTTCCTAAGTATTCTTCTTCAAAGATTGAGGACATCAAAGGGCTAATATTGAAGTAGCCCAAAGCATCCTTGAAGGGCCTTATTAGGTGGACCATTGTGTCAGTTCAACATACGTGGCTCGTAGCAGACTCCATGAGTCTTCAGAAAAGCGTGTGCTAAGACGTGAATGACAAAAAGAGTAAATATGATCAAAACAGCTGGGTACGTGTACGCTGCTGCCAAATGGTTTGAATGGTGGTTTGTGTGTCGATTCTGTATAGTGTGATTTTGATAAGTTGTAAGAATGAGATTGTTGAGCATGCAGTTGATAGTTGGGATTGCATGTGCATCTATTGTAGTTTTTTACACTCAACTAACATTCTCATGTTCATCGACATTATGGGATTGATACCAAGTAAACCACCTCAGGAAGTACAATCAATTCCATTTAAGAAATTTAAGCTCTCCACTAAAAAATATGAGTAAATTCGATGATGTTTTGTGCAAGCACATGCAGACAAGACAGCAAAAGTTGCCTGTATTGAGCCCGTAAGGGTGCCCTGCGATGTTGCCAGTGGCCTAAAATGGCCATATCCCCCCATGTTAGTGTGGCTGAAGCCGCACGAACACTTCACAGAAGGACTCTGGCGAAAGCGCAGGTTCTAATCACCTGACCGATTTACAAACTGATGTGGATATACAGCTGGGCGAAGTCATCCTGCCCGAAATCAGCGGGCTTGTCTGGAAGTTACTATACAGGCTTGAAGAAGTTGATATTCCTTAGCAAAGCACTACGTTTTTCATATTTAAGGTAGATGCGGCGGGTTTATCATACGGTAATGCAATGGACAATAGTCAAATCTGTGGTGCTGGACATGCCCGAATCCTCGATTGTGTCGCAGGTGTAATTCCTTCTCGAATCACCTGCGCATCGTCAGACTCGTTTGGTTGGGCGCGGTGACCTGACAAACATGATAAGGAGGTCAGGTCGCACATATCTCGTATCGTGGCGGTTCCGGACGTTATGAAAGCGGTTCTCAAAATTTACTGATTGCACCGTGATGAAACGAAGTTGACCGCAATGCGTGTGGAAGTTGTACAGCGTGACGCCGCCCAATCAGACGGGTTACACCTGAAAAACGTTTTAAGACTATCCTAGACACGGAGAGCTCATAGCAATGGTAAGTTCTACGAGGTGCCGCCCAGCTGTTACAAGCCCACGCTCCTACAAAGAACACTTCCGAAAAATGAAACAGCGTCCTTTTATATCTGAATAATTGTTATGAGAATGAAGATCAATAACAAAATAGTGTATTTTGGGCCCTGGCAGGTGGAAATCGCTTTGAGGCTCCCATGTTTATGGATATGCGCATCACTTCTGGATGTGTCCAAAATTTCTGGTTGGGGTCATCGGGTCCCACTTACCACTTTCCCCAACCACAATTTTAACCTGAACAACACTGACACACCAACTTGAGTTTCGGAACAACACCTGCTCGGTTCCCTGGCTTTTCACCAGCAGAACCACTTATCAATACAGTACATTAGAAAGCCTGTCTCCACTCATTACGTATTCTGGAGTCCTAGCGTGGTAATTCTTACTCACCTAGCGTGGTGGTCTATCGGATAACTCTCAATTACGGACGTCTGGTCTAGACCAAGTACTGAGTTTTTCCGCCATGGCTCGCCATGTCGCGGCTTGTCTGCTCGTTCTCCTTGCGATGTCTGCCGTTGTGAACGCGGGAAACGCGGCTGCTGACAAGGCGGCTGCTGACAAGGCGGCTGCTGATAAGGCGGCTGCTGACAAGGCGGCTGCTGACAAGGCGGCGGCTGACAAGGCGGCGGCTGACAAGGCGGCTGCTGACAAGGCGGCTGCTAAGGCGGCGGCGGACAAGGCGGTGGCGGACAAGGCGGCGGCGGACAAGGCGGCGGCGGACAAGGCGGCGGCGGACAAGGCGGCGGCGGACAAGGCGGCGGCGGACAAGGCGGCGGCGGACAAGGCGGCGGCGGACAAGGCGGCGGCGGACAAGGCGGCGGCGGACAAGGCGGCGGCGGACAAGGCGGCGGCGGACAAGGCGGCGGCAGACAAGGCGGCGGCAGACAAGGCGGCGGCAGACAAGGCGGCGGCAGACAAGGCGGCGGCAGACAAGGCGGCGGCAGACAAGGCGGCGGCAGACAAGGCGGCGGCAGACAAGGCGGCGGCAGACAAGGCGGCGGCAGACAAGGCGGCGGCTGACAAGGCGGCGGCTGACAAGGCGGCGGCTGACAAGGCGGCGGCTGACAAGGCGGCGGCTGACAAGGCGGCGGCTGACAAGGCGGCGGCTGACAAGGCGGCGGCTGACAAGGCGGCGGCTGACAAGGCGGCGGCTGACAAGGCGGCGGCTGACAAGGCGGCGGCTGACAAGGCGGCGGCAGACAAGGCGGCGGCAGACAAGGCGGCGGCAGACAAGGCGGCGGCAGACAAGGCGGCGGCAGACAAGGCGGCGGCGGAGCAGGCGGCGGCGGAGCAGGCGGCGGCGGCCGAGAAGGCGGCGGCCGAGAAGGCGGCGGCAGAGAAGGCGGCGGCGGACAAGGCGGCAGCGGACAAGGCGGCAGCGGACAAGGCGGCGGCGGACAAGGCGGCAGCGGACAAGGCGGCAGCGGACAAGGCGGCAGCGGACAAAGCGGCAGCAGAGCAGGCTGCTGCGGCCGAGAAGGCGGCGGCCGAGAAGGCGGCGGCTGACAAGGCGGCAGCTGACGCTGAGGCGGCTGCTGTGAAGGCGGCTTCTATGAAGGCGATACCGGTGAAGAGAGGCGCGCTGTGCGTCGATGGGTGCGACTACGAGAAGGGCTCGTACGACTACTGGAAGGTGCGTCCGCCTCCGCTCTCGAATGCCACAGGGGATGCCGTTTACGATTGTGTTTATATGCATCCCTCTGCTTCTCTGTTTACTATGAGCCTACAATTCCTTCTTCTCTCAGTCGCTCTCCTCAGGTTCAGCTATTCCTGTTGTTTAATCTCGTCACTCAGGAGTGTTTCACAGAATGTTTCCTATCGTGTATCCCTCTGTCGCTCACCTGGCAGGTTCCGGAATTCAAGACGTGCATGTCAAAGCCCGACAAGGACAACGCTCCCTGGTGCGCGGCGGGCGCAGTGAACGCCAAGGACTGCTGCGCCGCATGCAAGGCGGGCGCCACCGCTGCCAACGGGAAGGACTTCTCCTGCCGCTTCTGGGTGCACATCCCGTGAGTAACCCTACAATCCCGTCACCCCTTGCTTCCCAGAATCTATGTATTTTTTTATTGTCGTACTACACTGTTTCTTTAATTGCTTTCAAATCGCGTTCAGTCCCCTGTTGCCCTCTGCGTCTCTTCATTGCTTTCAAATCTTCGAGTTTCCTAAACTTTCTTCTCTTGGTCCTGCCGCTCTGTTATCGCTCTGCTTCGTCTCAATCGCAGATCGTCGCCCAGCGAGGGCAAGTGCAACGGCAAGGAGTGCGGCAAGTGCCTGCTCCTGCCCGACCTCTCTTCCCTCCTGCCGGTCAAGAGCACCAAGAACGGCTGCGGCGGAAAGAAGGTCCGCATCGGCAAGAACTGCCCGGCCGCGCAGAACGACCCGCACTTCCTGGGCGCGCACAACACGCGTTTTGACTTCAACGGGCTGCCCGAGAAGAACTTCTGCCTGTACACGGACCGCGCGGTGCACGTGAACATGGGCATGCGCGGCTACCTCGACTCGCGGGCTGGCTCCACGCAGAACGCCGCCCTCGTCGTCAACGGCTCTGCTGTGCGCACCTGGATCCGCCAGCTTGCAGTCATGTGGACCGGCAAGTCTGCCACCCACTCGCTGGTGCTGACGGCGCGTGACGGCAAGGAGCAGTTGCGCGGCAAGTCCGGGTTCCTGGCCTCTGTGGAGCTTGACGGCAGGCCCCTCCCCCGCCTTGTTCCCGGTGAGGTGCGCAGCATGGCTGGCGGCAAGGCGGCGCTGGAGTTTGTGGGAGAGGAGAAGACCGGCCCGTACGACGTGGACCATTACTACCTGAGCATCAAGGGGCTCCTGGAGTTGGACCTGAAGCTGAGGCCTGCGCACCCTCTGTTGCAGACACCTGACGACGCCCAGGTGCATATTAATGTGATGTTTACAGATGCGAGTGTGACCAGCAGTGTGCACGGTGTGATGGGGCAGACGTACCGCGATGGAAGGGAGGCGCGCACGGTGGAGTTTTCGAGGCTTGCTGCCATGCTGCACCACCCCGTGTCCGCCGATGGCGCGGAGGGCAAGGGCTTTTTGGACGGGCAGGTGAAGGACTATGAGACCAGCGCCGTCACCGCCACTGACTGCCGCTACTCCGCCTTCAATGGTCAGGAGCTGCCCGTTTCCGCGTACTGAAGACTTTGCGGAACCATAGTTTTGTATTGTATTTTGATTTCGTATGCTTGCTGGCGGTGGGTGTATGGCTATTCGTTTATTTGTTGTAGTGGGGTGGTATGTGAGTTTGTTATTGCCTAAAAACTCATGCATGTCACGTTAAAACCAGTTACACTGTAAATGATACTGAATGATGCACAACGCTCTTGACACTTCAGTGAGAATGTGCAAGACTGAGTGTCACTATACATGTCGTTGCACTTAACTTTAGAATGAAAGTTTGCGTTGCCTGTTTCCAATGAGTGATACTAGTACTAATAAACTTTTATGGAGAGAAAACTAAATTGAGCGAATCCAACGGTGTCATTGCTTAGCTACAGAAGACGAATCGAATTTGAAACGGGAATTTTTTTTGTACACAAACCGTTCATGTGCCATGTCCCTTTCTGCGATGGTTTTGTGGAGTCAGATCATGCACTTTGGGCTTTCTGCTCTTGGATTTCGCCGAGGACTGACCAGTGACAAACAACACGAATTGCAGGTTCTGGCGAAAGCGCAGGTATTACACGCCGCACCTGGGTGGTGACCGCATGATAAACTGGGCAGCCACGAGGAAGGAGCCACTGTGCCCGAAATCAGCAAGAAAATAAGTGTTTCTCTGTCAAAAAAAAGAGAAAAGACCCGCTCACAACCCAAGTGGAATCAAGATTTGTGAATGATAAGCCGATTACAGTATTCACCTTTCCATGGGACTCCAGCCCGTGGGATGTCCAGAACTTTTGCAGGTGCGACTCCAGCTTTGTACCTGCGGGTTGAGAGTCTCACCTGGCTGGTTCCCAAATCAGAGGGATGGAGTCAATGTGGTTTGTCATTGCCTGCCAGGTAGAAAACGCTAGGAGTCTGTACACGTCTGCGTAACCACAATTTCATGTGTCCGAACCGAATCTCTTGGTTTGGTTTGGTTCGGTCACATCTTCACCTCCACGGCCCCGAACGAGCCCTGCCGCACCAATCGAGTTTCACCAGTAACACCTGCTCAGTTCCCTGACTTTTCACCCGCTGCTCAGTACATAAGCAAGCCCTTGTCTCATCACATCAACAAAACGAAGAGTTTTAAAAACTAACCACTCCATCTGATTTAGACCAAATACTCGTTCCTACACGATGGCCCGCTATGTCGTCGCCAGTCTGCTCGTGCTCCTCGCTACATCTGCCGTTGTGAACGCGGCGAGCGCTAATGCGAATGCGGCTTCAAATGCGAAAGCTGTCCCAGCAAAGAGAGGGGCGCTGTGCGTCGATGGCTGCGACTATGAGAAGGGTTCCTATGACTACTGGAAGGTGCGTCATGCTGCACATTCGAATGTTAAGGAGAATGCTTATTATTATGTTCTTCTGTATCCCGCTGCCTTCTGTGCTAATGTCACATTAGTACGGTACTGATGAGTACCCTCTTCTTCCCGGTCGCTCCCCTCAGGTTCCGGAATACCAGGCGTGCATGTCAAAGCCCGAGAAGGACACCGCTCCATGGTGCGCGGCTGGCGCGGTGAACGCCAAAGACTGCTGCGCCGCATGCAAGGCGGGCGCCACTGCCGCCAACAAGAAGCCCTTTGCCTGCCGCTTCTGGGTGCACATCCCGTGAGTAACCCGCCAATCACCCGCCAATCAACCCTTGATTAATCACGCCACCTAGTTCCAGTATTGCCCTGATCTTGTATGCTTGTGAGTTTCCTCGTACTACGCGCATGTTACGGCGCGCGGACCTTAATCGCGTATTGTCCTTTGGGTCGCTCTGCGCTCGTTTCCTAATTTATCTCATCGCAAATCGCAGATCGTCGCCCAGCGAGGGCAAGTGCAACGGCCACGAATGCGGCAAGTGCCTCCTCCTGCCGGACCTCGCTTCCCTCTTGCCCACTAAGAGCGACAAGAACGGCTCCGGCGGAAAGAAGGTGCGCATCGGCAAGAACTGCGCCGCCGTCGAGAACGATCCGCACTTCACGGGCGCGCACGGCACGCGATTCGACTTCAACGGGCTGCCCGAGAAGAACTTCTGCCTGTACACGGACCGCGCGGTGCACGTGAACATGGGCATGCGCGGCTACCTCGACTCGCGGGTTGGTTCCACGCAGAATGCCGCCCTCGTCGTCAACGGCTCCGCCGTACGCACCTGGATCCGCCAGCTAGCCGTCATGTGGACTGACGCCGCTGACAGCGACAACACCGTGTCAGCTACGCCCGGCGCCGCCTCAGCCACCCATTCACTGGTGCTGACGGCGCGCGACGGCAAGGAGCAGCTCCGCGGCGAGTCTGGATTCCTGGCATCTGTAGAGCTCGACGGCACGCCTCTCCCCCGCCTCACCCCGGGTGAGACCCGCAGCCTCGCCGGCGGCAAGGTGTCGCTCGAGTTTGTGGGAGAGGAAAAGGCTGGGCCGTACGACGTGGACCATTACTACCTCCGCATCGACGGGCTCCTGGAGTTGGACCTGAAGCTGCGCCCCGCGCATCCTCTGTTGCAAACACCTGACGACGCCCAGGTGCATATTAACGTGATGTTCACTGACGCGAGCGCGAGCAGCAGCGTGCATGGTGTGCTGGGGCAGACTTACCGCGATGGCAGGGAGGCGCGCACAGTGGAGTTTTCGAGGCTCGCTGCGATGCTGCACCACCCCGTGTCCGCCGATGGCGCGGAGGGCAAGGGCTTCCTGGACGGGCAGGTGAAGGACTATGAGACCAGCGCCGTCACCACCACTGACTGCCGCTTCTCTGCTTTCAATGGTCAAGAGCTGCCTCTTTCTGCTTGAAGCGAAGACATTGTGAAACAATGGGATTGTATTGTACATACGGTGGTTTTGTATGCTCTCAGGTGGGTGTATAATTATCCCTATCGGATTATAATTTGATTTGTTCTAGCGGGTAATGTAAGCAGGTTATTGCTGGTCATACCTTTTGTTCTTATACCAATTCAATTACCAATTCTGGTATTAGGGTACAGGAATCTTTGTTAGGACGGTAAACATGTGGTTCAAATAGGTGAATAATGAACTACATCTAGGTAGCATAGGAGGCCGGTTCCAGTTGTCTTTACCGTCTTTCATTCTCTCTGTTCCCTTTTTCTTCTCCCTCTTTCCCTTTTCCTCTTTCTATCCATAAGTACTGTACAACTGATCCACTGAAACCGCAACTATTCCCACAACAATATTCACAATAGGGGGCGCAGGTACATTCACTGGGTAGGAAATTGGACCTAGAGATTGTTTCTCGTTGATGGTGTACACTTGATGTTCAGGAGTACAGTTCACGATTCCGCCTGCAGCGAACACGGCCGAGGCGCTGGCATGGATTTTTTTTCGTTGCGAACAGATCGCTTTTGAAAGTGTTTGACCCTCATCCCTCTGAACCTATAAAGTGTGGGCAGGACGTTGAATCCCGGAAAATAAGAAATGAGTGGACATCACCCTTGCAAAATGGGCCGCGAAACCGAAACTGCTACTACAATCCAAACAAGAGCCGTGCCAACATTCGGGTAGAAGCCGTGCCATGCCAAGAGCGAAGCTCTATAACGTTTTTCTCCCAGTTCCGCGGTGTCAGGGAAGCAGACTTTCTGTATGGTTTTTTTGGGGACATCACAATGGTTTGCCAGTGGTCAAAAGAACTCGCAGGTGTTACTCCAGTTACTTCTGCTGGGCCTCTGCGCATCGTAAACTACCTGGCCGGTTCCGCCGCTCCATCAGGCTGCGACGAAGCTCGAAGAAAAGGCGCGAAACGGGCTGTAACCCCCTCGGGAGATACAGTGCAGGAGCCCGCCAGGTTGTTTGCATGATCAGCCTCTGCCGCTGAACATGCGGCTCAACATTTTGCGGTGGTCCTGCGACCTTTCCCTTCCC